CATCAATGTTTCTCTCTGTGTCTCCTCCTCTTCCTTCCACTCTCTCTAAAAATCAATGCAAAGAATATCCTTGGGTGAGGTTTAACAACAAACAAAAAAAATCCCAAAAGGTATCAAATACCAGTTACAACTATATCAGAATTAAAAATAATAAAAGTCCATGACAAATCCTACAAAATGGACATAAATGTTTTTATCATACAAAGGACAACCTACTATTAAGTTATACACAGAGAAGATAAAACATGTCATTCTTTTTTAAAAAAAATGTTTTTATTGATTGTTGAGAGCAACAGAGACAGAGAAGGGGGGACGGGAGAGAGGGAGAGGGAGGGAGAGGGAGGGAGAGAGGAGAGGGGGGGGGAACATCGATTGGCTGCCAACTGCATGCCCCTAATGGGGATCAAAGCTGCCAACCTGGTCACATACCCTGACCAGGAATCAAACTGGGGACCTCTCAGGACATGGGACGATGCTCAACCAGCTGAGCCACAACAGCCAGGGCATAAAAATGTAACTGTTAAGTTTGACCTTCAATTCTTTTTTTTCTTTTTTAATTGATTTTTTTAAGAGAAAGGAAGGGGGAGGGGGGAGGGGGGGAGAGGGGGAGGGGAGGGAGAGGGGGAGGGGAGGGGGAGGGGAGGAGGGAGAGAAAGAGGGGGAAGAGGGAGGGAGGGAGGGAGGGGGGAGAGAGAGAGAGAGGGAGGGAGGGAGGGAGGGAGGGAGGGAGGGGGGGAGGGAGGGAGGGAGGGAGGGAGAGAGAGAGAGAGAGAGAGAGAGAGAGAGAGAGAGAGAGGAGCAAAACATAGATTGGCTGCTTCCTGCAGGCCCCTTACCTAGGATTGAGCCTCCTGACTGGGAATCAATTTGCAGCTTCTCAGTGCATAGGACACTCAACCAACTGAGCCACACCAAGGCTGGCCTCAAATTCTTTTCTTTTTTTTAAAATATATTTTATTGATTTTTTACAGAGAGGAAGGGAGAGGGAATAGAGAGTTAGAAGTGCATGCCCTTGACTGGAACCGAACCCGGGACCCTTTAGTCCACAGGCTGATGCTCTATCCACTGAGCCAAACTGGTCACGGCAGGCCTCAAATTCTTATAGTAGATACAATAACTAGTCAACAACAATAGAAAGGCCTTTCTTTTAGATTATCTGGAGGGGCCTGGAAGTTTACATTTTCCCTTTTTCCTTTAATATATTTCTTTGTAACAAGTAGGAGCATTCAGTCAACAATTTTTCGCCAGGCACCTACTTTCTACATCAGCCACTGTCAGTCAATACAGCTTAAGGTGTGTTAGTTTGGTAATCTCAGCCTAAAAACTATTTTCCTACAGTGACCTCAACATTTCTCACCTTAGCTTCTCAATTTACTCAAAACTACCAAATTGGTTAATTTTGATCAATGCAATACCATCAAGATTTTTGTTTAAGAAAAATTAGCATTCAAAAAACAAATATAAATTCATAGTTGTCTTTGTGACTAAAGGGGGAAGGGGATATTTAAAAGTTACCAAAACTCTAATCATATCTGAGACCTTTATAAATTTCAGAGTAGATTTGCCACATATATTACATTTCCAAAATTCTAATAGTGTAAAAAATAACCACATAATTTGGCTACAGATAATTTGACCTGGTCAGTGTGGCTCAGTTGCTGGAGCGTTCTCTTGTGCACCCAAGGGTTGCCGGTTTGATTCCTGGTCAGGGCCCATACCTAGGTTACGGGTTTGATCCCCAGTGGGGGCATATGTGGGCAGCAACTGATTGATGTTTCTCTCTCTCCCTTCCCCTCACTCTAAAACCAGTAAAATATATCCTTGAGTGAGGATAACAAAAAAAAAGAAAGATATGTTTAAGAGATCTTCATCTTTTGAAATACAGATGCAATGAAAAAAAAAAGCCTGAGTAATGACTGGAATCAGAAGAATCTGGATTCAAATCCTACTTCTGCAACTTAATAGCTATTTGTATCTTGGGCAAGTTATTGAACTCTTATGAGCTTCTACAAATTTTCTCTCCTCTATGCTAGAATAATTCCAGAATATCAAACTCAGAAGCCCATTTTTCCCCTCTTCAAGCTATTATATACCCATCCTACAAAATTAAACTAAATAGGTCAGCTTCTAATATAGTAATGATACATGTTGGAGGTGATACACAGACACCTCCAACAAGTTTTTTAAAAATATATTTCTTTATTGATTTCAGAGAGGAAGAGAGAGGGGAGAGATAGAAATACCAACGATGAGAGAGAATCATTGATTGGCTGCCTCATGCACAGGCCCTACTGGGGACTGAGCCTGCGACCCAGGCACGTGCCCTTGACTGGAATCGAACCCAGGACCCTTCAGTCCTTGCTCGATCCCCAGTAGGGGGTGTGCAAGAGGCAGCTGATCGATGACTCTCTCTCATCGATGTTTCTAACTCTCTATCTCCCTTCCTCTCTGTACAAAATCAGTAAAAATATATTAAAAAAAAAATATTTAAGCTTTTGATTTTTAGAGAGAGAGAGGAACATCAGCAGCCTCCTGCACATCCCCTACTGGAGATCAAGCCTGCAACCAGGGTCCATGCCCTCACCAGAATCGAACTGGTGACCTCTTGGTTCCTGGATCTGCACTTAACCACTGAACCACACTGGCCAGGCAATTACAGTAATTCTTATGTACTGAAATGGGCTTGCCTAACCTTTAGTCACCATTACTTTGCCTAGTTGAAGTAATCTAATGTACTAAGCAATAGAATTACAGATATAGTACAAGGGGCACTGGACTAGGACCACGCTCTCCTAATAATCAAATATATAATCTTGGAAAATTCACTTTTTCTTCTTTGAGTCTTAATCTATTCATAAAAACAAAAGAACTGAACTACTAATCACAAGGGACCTTTCCAGTCTTAATTTTTAATTGATTCTTATTTATAAAGATTCTACATTCATATTGTTTTCATTGTGTCAAATTCGATATACTGAATATTAGTTTGGTACATTATTTGATAATCAAAAGCTTAGCATATTCTATATAATAAAAAGCTAATATGCAAATCAACTGAACAGTGGCATGACCAACAAAAGGACTGGTTGCTGTGACATGCACTGACCACCAGGGGGAAGACACAACACAGAAGCTCCCTCCTGGTGGTCAGTGCACTCCCACATGGGGAGCACAGCTCAGCCAGAAGACAGGCTCACACTGGCCAGTGCAGCGGTGGTGGCGGGAGCCATTAGTCAGACATCTCCCAAGGGCTCCCAGACTAAGAGAAGGCGCAGGCCAGGCTGAGGGATTTCCCCAGCTGAGTGCATGAATGTCATGCATTGGGCCTCTAGTTTTCATATAATTTTATTAACCAATGTTACCCAATAAAAAAAAACAAAAAAAACCCCACACACACAAAAAAAACACCTTAGCACATTTTGTTAAAATATTTTAAGACTAGTAACATAATTTTTACCATATTACATTAGGAACAGTAAAAGAAAACCAAAGAAGAAATGCGAGCATGTTTTGCCAGTTGGGCAGACATAAACCACACTGGATTTTAAAATACAACCCATTGATAATAAACAAAAAAAGACTCCCAAACCACTGATACATAAATACATATATGTATATAAATATGTATACACACATTGATATATAATTTTTTATTGATATACATATAATTGTGAACTTTAAAACTTTTTTAAATTATAAAATCAATATTTGTTAATTGTAAGAAATTCAAACAGTATATTAGGCCACATGTGCAAAGTGCAAAGTAAAAAGTGTCCCACCTCTCTCCATCCTCCATAAGTAACTGTTAATATTTTTATGTATCATTCAATTAGTTACCTAAGCATATGTTTATGTATATAAATCTTTTTAACCTAAAATTTTGCCACTTCTTGAATGATAAAAGAAAATGTCTCAAGCACAGGCTTCATAAGCATGTTAAAAACACTGAAAGTAGTACCAGAGTTGTATGGATCAAAGTGGTATCTGCTTCAAAAATGTGCTTTGAACTGAATACATTTAAATTTTCTTGCTTGAAGCAGTCGCGCAGAAAAAGCTTTTAGCAAGAAGCCAGACAACCTGAGTTCTAATTTGAGTAGTCTGAGTACCCTTAGGCAAGCCATGAAATCTTTCTGTGTCTTAGTTACAGCTTTTGTAAACGGCTGGACTAAGATCCCTTCCAACTCTAAAATTTTATAATTCTAAGATGGCCGTCTGTAACGGTGTTCTCCGGAACTGGTTGAAACAAATATTAAGTAAAAAGAGAAGAAACACTATAGCGACCTCCGGTCTTACCAAAGTAAATTTCTATGCGTCATTATCAAGGTATAATTGTGATAGAACTAGTGACATAATTATATTTGAAAGCAAAGTAGCAGATTTTTTAAATCGGATAGGTTTTTTACAAAGCTTTGATTGACGTCTTCCTTTTTCTTTCTTTTTTTGGGGGAGGAGGAGGAAGAGGGCTGTGGCTTAGTTTCAGTAATAACCACCCTCTCCGCCCGAAAAGAATTAAGGGTATTTTGGAGTTAAAATCATGAAACGGAAACTGATTTTCGTTTTACTTACAGAATATGCTGGGGAGATGACTAAAGCAGCAAAGATTGGAAAGAATTACTAGCTCATTTCCTCTCCCGGAAGCTTTTGGCTCCCCATTCTTTGGGTTTCACACTCCCTCACCGCACACATTCCATCCCTTCCCTAACGTTCCACAGGCATCAGATGGGGGGGATGGGAGGGTCCCTTTGATCCCTGAAAAAGTTCCTTGACTCGATTTACCTTAGAGGTCATGGGGTTCAGGTTGGCACCCACCCGCCCACGCCCTCCTCCGACGGATCTGAAAACCTGGGCCAAGAACCCTGGCCTGGCCACCCTTGCCTGGCAAGGGCGGCCTTCCCGCCTTCCCCCCTACCGCAGGGCCCAGCAGGGGGAGGGGAGGGAGGGAAGAAAGGGGAGGGGGAGGGGAGGAGAGCGAGGAGAAAGCCCGCGCGCGCCGTACCTACCGCGCCAGGAGAGCCAGCCCGATCGCCCGCGGTGCCCGGCGCGGTCCCGAGGGGTGGGTCCTGGAGGAGGGGTGGCCCAAGCCCCAATCTGGAAATGCCAACTCTTACACGGCGGCCGGCCCGGCCTAAAAGGAAACGGAAGTCCCTTCGTCTCCCTCACCAGCACCCACCAGCCCGCCCAACCCACGGAGGATTACCGAGGGCCTCAAAGGAAGGCTAAGAGGCACCGAGCGAAGTCCATCTGGCTCACTGCCCCTGCCCGGCCCCCGGGCCCCGCAGTCTCCTACCCGCCGCCCCCGCCGGGAAGCCAGCTTCCCGCCCTAATAGAGCCCCGCCTTCTCCCCCCTTCGCCATTTTCGAACTTACCCCTAGGGTCCGGGCGACCCTCGCGGAGCGCGGAGCCCACCCGGGGCGCCGCGGAGGTCCCGCCACTTCTCCGGGCGGGAAGGGGGCTGCTGGGACAAACGAAGCCCTTCCCCCCATCCCCCAAGTTGGAAACCAGACCCCAAGGGAGCAAGCGCGCATGCGCTGTGCGCACGCGCAGTCCCCGCCCCCCAGCTCAGGCATTTCCTCTGTTAGCTGCGAGGTGTGTTTTTCCCACGGTTTTTTGCATGCAGGGTTCTAGGGTTGGGAAACAGGAAAATAGAGATTAAAGGATAAAAACAGAAGAGAGGGAACATATTGAATTCTAACTATAGACCAGGCTCTGTGGTAGCCATATAACGTGTACTTCCTTGTAATTTTGACAACTCTATGAGATAGGCACTCTCTTATTAAACCCAGTTTACACAGGAAATTGAGCCCAGAGAGGATAACTCCCCCACTAGGACTCAGCTAATAAACGAAGGAACTGAGATAACAATACGACCTGTGTTCCAGGAGGGAAGGATGAAAAGAAAAAGAAAGGAAGACAGTAAGGCAGGAGGGGATTGGAAGATGAAGTGGAAAATGAATAGAGAGCAAAGAACACAGGAGGGAAACAAGAAATCTCTGTACATTAAATATTGATTCTATCTTAGGTTTATTTCAAATGTGCTGTAGGATTGTCAGACCAAAGATAAATTTTATTTCAGAAACTTGGGCTCCCCCACAGGCTAGTGTAGTAAGATGAGAGATTTTTAACAAGAGGGTTTCATTTCAAAGGGAAGATCATAAGTATCACCTGCATCCTCAAAGGATGCTGCCCTTCATTGAAAAGGGAACTTGACGGGAGTAAAGACTTACTGTACTTTTGGTTCCTTGGCATTTGCTTAGATAGTATCACCTCTGATCCTCTCTCGCTGTCATAGCTCTGGGAATCTCATGTTGACTTATATAATAATAATAATTGCAAGAAAATATTTGTGTCATTTAATTCTTACAGCAACTTTATAAAATATGTAACTATCATTCTCATTTTACCGATGAAGATACTGAGGTTTAGAGAGGTTAGGTAGCTGCAAAAGTCATCTTGCTAGTATGTGTAGGAGCTGAAACAATGATTCAAACCTAGTTCTATTTGATTACAGGCCTGTCTGATCAATACTCTGTCTCCTAACTGGTCTCTCTATCCCTAACCGGTACCTCACAATCCAGTCTGCACAAGGCCAACTGAGTTAAAACATTCAGTATGGCCTCCAGGATAATGGTAAAACTACTGGCTTCATGTTCACTCTCTCCTTGAACTCTCATGACAGTTGAATTTCTGTTTTTGGTTTTGTTAGCATCTTTTAAGAATTGGTTAAATGTATATAACATAATTTGCCATTTTAACCATTTTTTTAAGTGGCATTATACACATTCCTACCCATCTCTAGAACTTTTACATCTTACTTGGCACTTGAATTTGTAACTTTGTTATGGAGCACAGTGCTTTTTGCCTTACAGGGTTGCTACTGTGTACATGCCTTATCTCACCTGTGTTGTAAGTTATTTGTAGCAAGATGTATATCTACTCAATTTAGTAATTCCTTCAAAACCCTTGGAATCATCTTTTTAAAAAATTAATCCTCATCCAAAGATATTTTCCCATTGATTTTTAGAGAGATTGGAAGGGAGGGGGAGAAACACACACACATACACACACACACACAGAGAGAGAGAGAGAAAGAGAGAGAGAGAGAGAGAGAGAGAGAGAGAGAGAGAGAGAGAGAGAGAGAGAGAGAGAGAGAGAGACTGGTGTGAGAGTGACACATTGATTGATTGCCTCCTGCACACGGCCTGACTGAGGCTGGGGATCAAGCCTGCAACCGAGGTACATGCCCTTGACCAGAATCAAACCCATGACCCTTCAGTCTGCAGGCCAACACTCTAACCACTAAGCAACTGGCTAGGGCTGGAATCGTCTTTAATTGCACTCTCTCCTATCCCATATCCAATCCATAAGCAAATACTGTCATCTCAATTTTCAAAATATAGACAGAATATCACCAATTCTCATCAACACCACTATGCCCCTAGCTTACTCTCTCTTGCACTGTAAAAGCTTCCTTATCAATTTCCTCGCTTACATCCTTGCCCCTCTCCAGTCTATTCACACAGAAGCCAGAGTTATCCCAAGTCAGATCATTGTCAATTATCTGCTCAAATCCCTTCAATGACTCCCCATTTCACTCAAAGTAAAGGCCATAGATTTATAATCACCTACAAAGGCTGTTATAGCCAGCCACCAAGATGATCTTCAGTAATCTTTATCCTTGCTTTTCATACCCTTGGGTAGTCCTCTTCTACAATAAGCCAGAGCTGACCTGTGTAACTAGTAGAATGCAGTGGAAGTGATGTCATGTGACTTAAAATGCTAGGTCATAAAAGGCATTATGGGTTTTGCCTTGCTTTCTTGGATTGGTTGCTCTGGGGACAGCTAGATTTCATGTCATGAGTAACTCAAACAACATGTGAAGAGGACCACACAGGGAAAAACTGGGTCCTCTCCTTCTCCACCTTTCCTTCTCCCCCAACCACAACAAACACAACTTGCCAACCATGTGAGTGAGCCACCTTGGAAGAGAATTCTTTAGACCCAGACTTCAGATAACTGCAACCTCTGGAGATTCAGAGCTGGAACCAACCAGCCAAGCCACTTTTAAATCCTGTGTATTGTTTTAAATTTTAGGGCAATTTATTACCTAGAAGTAGATAACTGAAACAAAGATCCTACATAATAGGCATCCTTCTTATCTTTTATTTATTTGTTTGTTTATTTATTTGGTAATCCTCACCTGAGGGGATATATATATATATATATATATATATATATTTAATATCACTTTCTTTTTCTTTTCTTTTAAAAAAATATATTTTATTGATATTTTACAAAGAGGAGGAAGGGAGAGAGATAGAGAGCTAGAAACATCGATGAGAGAGAAATATCGACCAGCTGCCTCTTGCACACCCCCTATTGGGGATGTGCCCACAACCAATGTACATGCCCCTGACTGGAATCGAACCTGGGACCTTTCAATCCGCAGACTGACACTCTACCACTGAGCCAAACCAGTTTCGGCTTTTCTTTTTTTTCTGAGGATATTTTTTCTATTGATATTTAGAGATAGTGGAAGGGAGATAGGAGAAGAGAGAGAAGAGAGGAACATCAATTGGTTGCCTCCCACATGCACCCTGACTGGGATTGAGGATCGAACCTGCAACCTAGGTACATGCCTCCCACTTTTTTTTTTTTTTTTTTTTTGGTACATACCCTTGATCAAGAATTGAACCTTCAGCCCTTCAGCGAGTGGGCCAATGCTCCAATCACTGAGCCAGAACCCTTCTTACCTTTATATCCTCATTTCCTACTACTCCTTCCCTTCTTTCCTTTAGCTTCTCTGCTTCAGGACCTTTTTATTTGTTGTTTACTTTGACTGGAACACTTCCTCCAGATATCTCCTTCACCTCCTTCAAATCTTTGCTAAATTGTCACCCTCTCAACAAGGCCTGCCAATGATCATCATATTTAAAATTACAACTTATCATCCTGTCACTCCCAGTCATTCTTCTGTTGGCATCTATCATTTTTTAAAACACTGTATGGTTTTCATGTTTGTTATTGTAAGGATTGAGGCGCAGGAAACTAACCACCAAGACATTTTAAGGTAAAGTTTATTCCCCAGTAATGAGCGGGACTCATTACGGAGGTAGAGAAATCAGAATTGAAGGAGTGGGGAGGGGAGAGCGGACCCAGTCTGGCTCCTCCAGATGGACATGGAGGAAAAAGCAATATGTGGCTGGTCTGGGGGTCTTTTTAAGGGGAGGAACAGAAGAGGGTTGGACCCAGGGCGGAACAGGAAGGGGTGGGATCCAGGACACTTTGGCACACGCTGATTGGTGGTTCAATGTCTTGGGAATGTCTCTGTGACAGGTGCCAATAATGTCATAACTCCGCCCACCAGTTGGGAGGAGAGAGTATCTCACAGTTACGTTTCTTTATTTTTTGTATTTCCTCTCTCTCGAATCTGCCAGAACACTAGTATAAGCTCCAAGAGGGCAGGGATCTTTGTTTTATGCAATGATCTAATCTAACTGCTTAGAATAATATCTGGCACAGTGTAGGCCATCAAAATATATTTATTGAATGAGTGAATAAAAATTACATAAACATGCTAGACCCTCAGTAAATAAATACATGTTGGGCATATTGTTAATTGTAAGATGTGGACAGCAAAGGCATGTATACTTGAGATGTCTAGGTTTTATGGGCCCAGCATTTTTCACTCGAGGATATTTTTCCATTGATTTTTAGAGAGAGTGGAAGAGAGAGGGAAAGACAGAGAGAAATATTGATGTGAGAGGAACACATTGATTGGTTGCCTCCTGCATGAGCTCGACCAGGGCCCAGGCCAGGGAGGAGCTTGCAACTGAGGTATGTGCCCTTGATAGGAATCAAACCTGGGACCCTATAGTCCACAGGCTGACACTCTATCCACTGAGTCAAAGTTGCTTGTCTAGGTTTTGTATGTAGGAATACATAGAGGCATAAAGTTAGAAGAACACAATCTATGGAGAGGTTACACTTACCTTTACGAGGATTTATTATTTTTTGTTGGGGGGGTAATTATTTTTGGTTGAGAAGAAACATCTGGAGAGGGAATGAACGGAGATATATTAACTTGAACCATATAGAAATATCAATATTCCATCATTGCCAAATGTCTCAAGCAGCAATTTATTTAAAAAAAAATTTTTTTTGGCCCTAACTGGTTTCGCTCAGTGGAAAGAGCGATGGCCTATGGGCTGAAGGATCCCAGGTTTGATTCCAGTCAAGGGCATGTACCTTGGTTGTGTGCACATCCCCAGTAGGGGGTGTGCAGGTGGTGGCTGATTGATATTTCTAACTCTCTATCCCTCTCCCTTCCTCTCTGTAAAAAATCAATAAAATATATTTTTAAAAATTTTGTTAATCCTCATCTGATGATATTTTTCCATTGATTTTAGAGAAAGAGGAAGGGAGGAGGAAAGTGGGAGAAAAAGAGAGAGAGAGAGAGAGAGAGAGAGAGAGAGAGAGAGAGAGAGAGAGAGATATCTATGTGAGACAGGTTAATTGGTTACTTCCTGCA